AGGCACCGTGCTACAATCTTTCCATGTAGCAACATATTTAATCTTCACAACTGTACGAAGTGGGTGCTATTATTTCCATTTTACTGATAAGGAAACTGGCCCTAAAAATAAGCCGTTAGCATTGAGTCAATTCCAACTCATAGTGATCCTATAGGACAGAACAGAACTGACATGATAGGGCTCCCAAGGCTGTAATCTTTGCGGGAACTGACTGCCACATCTTTCTCCTGTGGAGAGGCTGATGGGTTCAAATCACAGCTTTTTCAGTTAACAGCCATGCGTGCGTTTAACCACGGTACCACACAGAGGGGTTAAATAATTTGCCCGGTGTCACAGTTTTTAATTGGCAATGCCTGGATGAGAAACTGAAGCTCAGGGAAGTTAAGCAACTTGCTCCGAGTTGCAAGGGTTGTCAACCACGGAGCCAGCTGACTAATCCAGGGCTGTGTCTGGACTCCTTAAGCCTGTTCTTCTCCCACCACAGCACCCACCTGGTCCCAGCCTCAAATGCTGAAGATAGCCAGGGCCCCACCTCAAATGCCTGAACTGGCAGGTGGTAAAGAGCAGTAGAATCTAAAGGGCAGATTTCATGTACAGGGGCCAGTTCTTCAAGAGAAGAAAGCAAATTTATTCAAGAAAGCTTGATATAAATTCTCCAGATTTTTAAATACTGCCTACATGTTTTCTAAGCATTGTGTGGGCCAAACAAAACAAGACCATAGGCTGTCAGCTTATAACTGCTCTTTATTTATTGAGTTTTAGGTCAAGCTATGGGCTGTCTCATGTCCAAAAACATCAGAAATCAGAACAGCTAGTCCAGGCTTACTCACAAGTGCTCTCCACTCCCAACAAAGGTTGACACTGGATCTGCCCTAGAATCAAACTCTTGCCACTGGTAACTCCCTTCCAACAGAGCCCGGGTGACACTGGTGGTTGGCGATCTGCTGCTAGCCTAGAGGCTGGCAATTCTAATTTACTCAGCAGCACCATAAAACAAGGCTTAGCCAATCTGCTTCTATAAAGATTACCACCAAGAAAACCCTATGGAGCAGTTCTATTCTGTAACTTATGGCCTTGCCATGAGTCGCAATTGGCTTCACGGCTATGGATTGGGTTGAGTTGGGTTTAACTCCCTTCCAGGCTGTCCACACTCCAAATCTGTAGCCATGAAAATATTTATTGAAGTTATTAAAACTACTTATAAAATATCTAGATTCCTTCAAGTGTCTTTTAACCTCACTTTTGAAAAGTTACCACACAGCAAAATAAAATACTTCCCACTTCCTAGCCGGTCAATTCTAGAGAAATTTCTCTGTCCATTTCTGGGGAAAATGTGGCTGCAGCCCTGACCACTGCCTTTGTAGGGTTCCCCACACTACAGCCCAGCTCTGAGAATTCCGCTCAGGACACCACAGCTCATTTCCTCATGTCCCTCTTTAATCAGCTGGAGGAGACTCAAGGAAATGAGTCAAAATCCTAAGGGTAACTTCTAGCAGCTGTCAACAACAGCAGCAAAATCCATCACCATAACAACATCTGTATGTAAATGTGCTACAAAAGGGAAGCCCACAAAATACTTGGCACATTTCTGATGAGAATTTGTTTTCAGAGCAAAAAGGCTGTATATGATAAACTGTCATTATATCTCATTGCGCTTCAGTGTAACCAACTTAAGGTAATAGCTATTACTGGAGGTTTTATCTTTCACAAGTATATAAGGCTGAGACCATTTTTCTTTTGTGGAGGGGGGATGAAAACATTTTCAACTGACTTACACTAACACTTTAGAGATAGCTTATCATCATTTCCATAACTGGAATGAACAGCTAACACCAAAAGTTTCTTAGTACAACCCTCCCAGGATTCAAAAGCCTCCACACCTCCAGGAAAGCTAGACTTTAATCAATCCTCTGTCAGCGAATGTCGTCGGTGGTGGTAGTGTGCCATCAAGTCAATTCCAACTCACAGAGACCTTATAAGACAAAGTAGGACAGCCTTGATATTATTGTAAGAAGCAGTTTGCCAGGTCTTTCTCTCATGGAGCAGCTGGGTGGGCTTGAACTGGTCACCTTTTGGTTAGCAGGTAAGTGCTTTAACCACTGTGCCAGAGAACACTCAAACATTGTAAGACAGGCCATTCTACCTCTTTTTCACCAAAAGCGGGAAGGTCCTTTGTGGTCCTGTTCACTCCTTTTTATTCCCAGACCCTACAACATATAGTTGGCCCTCATTAAATATTTTTGAATGAGTGAATGATCTCAGGCTTCACCACTGATTATTTTGGGCAAGTGCCTTATCCTTAGCCAGGTTCTCCATTTGTAAAATGGTGGGGTGGTAACAGTACCACCTCCTGAGTTGTTAAGAGGATCAGAAAGGACAGTCAAAGCTTCCAGCACAGGGTCTGGCACACATTTTCCAATGAAAGAGCAACAACTATTTTACAACACATCTGCAATGTGAAATTTAAGACACATGAGAAAATGTGTTTTGAAAAATACAGTATATGATTTATAAAGTGATAGGGAAAAAATGAATAGATAGATAGGAGGGAGAATGGGATTACATGAATTATGTAGGATCTCTTTATAAAATCATCATATTATTTTCAACAGGATAATAATCCAGCATGGCCTGTGTCGAGCTGCTGGGATGACTATGGCCTCACATCTGCAGGAACAAGGGGAAGATATGATTCACCATTCCTTCCAGGTTCATCCTGCCTGACACAGGAGCTGTAAATACTGGAGGAAGGGGAGGAGGGGACACTGTAGAGTTGGTCCCTCTCCTAACCCTCAGAGGAAAACTGTAGGGGAGCATGTTAGGATTAAGGAATTGGCAGCATAAACCATACTTTCCTGCTTTAGCTAGTGGCATACAGCTAGGTCACACCAAGTGGCCCTAGTGACCAGGAGCAGCAAAGGAATTTCCAGGTGGCTCGAAGAGGTCAGACAGAGACTTGAGAAAAAGTGCTCAGCTGACTATCAGAATACTGGAAGAGAATTTTGGACCCAAAGGAACCTTCATGATGAGGATGCCTCATTGTACTTTAAGAGGAAAAGGGATCCCCTGAATTAAAGCATCCTGTTCAAGGGCACACAGCCAATGAAAGGCAGAGAAAAACAACCAGATTGGAAATCCAAGGCTTTGCCAATACACCACATTGCCCTCCAAGGGACAGGCTTCAAAATTCCCTTTGCCAAATATCTATTGGATGGAGCAGGCAAATTATGCAGACGGAAACAATTGATTTATTTAATTTTAAAAAAGGGATACATTCAGTGTGGTCTGTCTTTCTTGGGACCCTGCTCTAGTCTAGTTCACATACCTAATCTGAAATGTTTTGAAAAAGCACGAAAATATAACGACCACAGGCGTCATTTCAGCTAGGCAGGCAAATCCGCCAGGGAATCCAGAGACTCGCTCAGGATCCCTCCTACCTCACAGGGGTCCAGATGCAAGCACTCTCCTCCTCCCGGACAGGAAAGCCTTCACAATGCATTATAGACCGGGAGGGGGGGAGCTGCATTAGAGACTATATGTGGAAACGACCAGTAATCTGTAACAGAGTCCACAATAGTTCGTTGCAATGCTTCCTTCTGAGCCCTTGGGTTCCAGTGCAGACTCACTTTCTATCCTTACATCATCAGGGTAACCTTAAAGGATTGAAAAAATGACCTGGCGGAGAGCAGGGTTTCAGAGGTTAGCCGTGCGACCTACAAGCGTCAGGAGTACCAGCAACACCCAGGAAAAGAAGGAAAGAGGCAGGAATCTGCCTGAAGGGATCCAGGAATCTGCAAATCCTTCTCCCCCTTAAGAACCAAGTTCCCGCGCGGATATGATTGGATTTTATAACAGCTTTAAGAATCAAAAAGAATTTGCAGAAAGTTGTACTCCATCTTCCATCCTCCACCTCAAGCAGCCCTGAAGTATAAATATCACGTGAGAGGGAGTGTAGCGAATATCAAAATTCCAGAAGAAAATTGGCAGCTGCGATCACAAGTCGCAGATACCGAGACGAGAAGATTCTAGGGCCCTGGCAGCCTTGCCGGACACTCTAGCCTGGGCGCGCGCGGCCACCGGGACCAGGAACAGAGCGTCCCAGCGCGCTGTTCCTTCCTTCCCCTGTACTGGAAGCAAATGCAGCCGCTAGCCGTTCTGGCGCGTGAAGCAGGAATGAAACTGCACCGCGGCAGAACCCCGCGAGCCTCCCGCAAGGGATTGACAAAAGCAAAAAGTCTGCAACCTAGCGGCTGCTTTCCACACACCCTGCCCAAGTTGTCCCTTTCGCCGCCACCTCCAGTCTCCCTGGGTCCGGCCCCACCACGGCCGCCGCGCGCTCTGCTTGCAGAATTATACTGTGGCAGCCAGGAAGCGCCGTAGCCTCCGACTCCTTTCTACCGGTCGCGCAGCGAACAGAGGAGGCAGCGCCTCGGTCCCCATCTCCGGGCACAAAGAACGCCCGTGGTTGGAAAACAGCAGCCTCGGAGAAAAATAAAAATGCTCTCAAACTTTGCCCTCTGCGTGGCTGAGAACCTGCCAGTCGGCCCTCTAGGGCATCGGTCACACAAACGCAACTTTTAACAAAAGGTAGCTGTGGCCGCACCTCGCACGGTGCGGATAACTCGCTCGGTGCGAACCCCCCGCTCGAGCGCCTCTGCCACTCGCGCACTCTCGGCACAAAAGAAATCCCAAACTCACACACAGCTCAGCTGCCCTCAGCCTGCTGCCTCGCTCACCCTCAGCCCCCTGTCTGCCCTCATTCCCGGTAGACCTCTCAGCTTAGCGCCACCAGCACTAGAAGCTGGGGGCTCCTAGCTCAGGTGAGCGAAGTAGGGTGCAAGAGAGTGTCCAGGGCGCCTCGAATCTTCTCGCAGGCGGAAACGCCTGGGACCCGAAGGGCCAGCAGCTACCTCTCTGGACACACCCCAACATGCTCAACCTTTTGGAGGGCATAGGCTACGCTGGGGGCGCGGGCTGGGGTGTCTGCCGCTCTCTCCCACCTGTCTGGACGCGGAGCAGGAGGAGCAGGACGCAGAGAAAATCCCAGGCGCCTTGAGCGCCTCTCATCGCGGTGGCTGCGCTAGGATCCAAGCTCTGTTCCACGTTCCTGCTCTCGCCCAAGTGCAGCAAGCGCGGCAAAGCCGAGCCCCCAGAGCCTGAGCCGCGAGGAACAGCCCCTCCTCCCGGTGCCCTCCCCCTGCGTGCCGGCCACGCCCCTCCTCGCCTCCCCTCCTCCCGCCCGCCTAGGTCTTGCTCTCTGCCAGAGTCGCTGGCCCCTTGCTCTTTCGACAGGCTAATCCCTGGGGGCTGTGACTGGGGGGAGGGAGAAGGCACGCCAGCGCTCGCCTCCTGGGTCTTGACCCCCAAGCCCTGCATCTCTCCACCTTTCCTCCCCTGTGATGTGGTTGGGCCGCGGGAGACAGTTCCCGGACCAGGGTGTGCGCTTTGTGAAGCCAGGCACCACGCGCACTTTAAGGCACTGGCCCGCCACCTGGCAGGTGCTCCCCAGACAATAAAGGTTGGCCGCCGGCCTTCGTAAATGCTATGGAAGGAGGGAGGTGGGTGCTACTGGTGGTGGAAGAGATTAGGGGACAGGAGGGGGGTGGTTAGTAAATTGAGCCCCGACATTCTTCTCCATTACTGTTAATCAAGGGGACCAAGCATGGCGCCTGGCATCGCGGTAAAAGGCTACAAGGGGCTTTAGGTAATTCTTTATGCTCAGTTTCTCCACCTGCTCCGTTACTTGTGAGAACATAGCTGGTCTCTTATTGGTCGGGCTAGCCTCCACCCAACAACCCCTTGCCGAGACTTTTCTAGATACTAGGACGTTGGAGTGGGGAGGGGCGTCTTGAGAAGTTTGCTCTGATAGCCAGGTTTTTTAAACCCATTTGCGCCATTTGTTGTGCAAAGCCCTCTGCTCCCCCTCTTTTTTTGTCTGTACAGTTTCTCTGCGGCTGTATCATGATAGTTACAAGGGCTAAGAATCCTCTTAGCTGCTCCAGCCCGTGCCAGGTTCAAAATAATAGTAAAATGATACTCTTCAGCCAGGTCCCGTTGCATAGAAAGTGCTTTACCCACCTGCTCATGGTGGTGCTCCTGAACAAAATGTAACAACCTGCTGTACAGAGCTTTATAGTTCTTCACCATGCTGAATATTATTTCATGCTAGCAGTAACAGCTTTATAAGGTAGCTAAGAGCTCTGGTAGCACAGTGCCTAAGGCGCTTGACTGCTAATCGGAAGGCTGGTGGTTCAAACCCACCAGCCACTCCTTGGAAGGCCGGTTGGGCAATCTACTTTCATAGTGATACCATCTGGGAAATCCAAGGAGGGGTCATTATGAGTCGGGTCCGACTCAAAGGCACATAACAACAACAACAATGAAGATATCTTTGTTATCTTGATTCAAAAAGTGGCCCAAGATCACACAGCTAATAAATGAAAGACTGGGGCTTGAACCCTCATTTTAAGACTGACTCCAGGTTTTATGATGAGTTTTCCCTATGTTCTTATAAACCAGTAAAACACTCTCCCTCCCCTCCCCCAGCTTAAAAATGGAAAATAAATGAGAGGTGATTTAAAAAAAAAAAAAAAAGCAGTAAAAGAGTTTAAATAATTTGCATACGCCTAGACTCCTCTCTAAATTATCATCCAAAATTTATAATTGCCCAGATCCCCACTTCATTTAATGTTGAAAGCTCTCCTATTTGATGCTGACAGGACTAAGTTGGCTTAAATTAATTACTTAAAAATTATCATTGCTAGAGGATGAACGAATGATCAACATGTATAATTGCCTCTTTTAAACTATATTTATGTATTAATTCAACAAAGTGGTTATGGCATTTGGCTGCTAACCAAAAGGTCAGCAGTTCAAACCTCCAGCGCCCCATGAGAGAAAGATGAGGCATTCTGCTTACGTAAAGATTTACAACCTTGGGAACCCTGTTCTACTCTGTAGAATAGAGTTGCTATGAGTCTGAATCATCTTGCTGACAGTGGATTTGGGGTTTTCTGCAAAGCAATGGTTAAGTGCTGGGCCGCTTCCTGGAAAGTTTGAACCTACCAGAGGCTCCATGGAAGAAACGACCTGGAGATCTGTTCCCATAAAGACTGGTGTTGTTAGGTGTTGTGGTAGTTAAGGTTATGTGTCCACTTGGCTGGGCCTGGTTTTGAGTGGCTGGGCAGCTGGTGGTAGTTATTCCCCATGATGAGACTAGCAATCAACTCCATGGTGGAATCCATTGGAGCAGTTGAGTAGCTACTCTAGAGATGTGGTCTGCTTCCACTATATAAAGAGAAGCTTTGGGAATGGTCTGCAGCTTTTTTGCACCTTGGACCAAGTCTTCATTCAGCAACCTGCCATTCCCTGCCGCTGTTGGTATTTTTCTGGACTTGAACTAGTGGCCTGCTGTGTTGTTTGATAATGTTGAAACTGTGCCTTTTTTACTTGCTGTCCTTAGGTTTGCCAGCCTTAGCAGCCAGCAGCTGCCTGAGTTAAGAAAAGCCTCCGGGTTCAGGGAGGCTTCACCTAGAGCTGGCACTTTGAACTGGACTTCTAGCCTCCTAAACTATAAGATAATAAACTCCTGTTTGTCAAAGCCATCCACTTGTGCTATTTTCTATTAGAGCAGTATGAAGTAACCAAAACAGGTGCCATCAAGTTGGTTCTCACTCATGCAACCCTATGTACAACAGAACAAAACACTGCCCAGTCCTGTGCCATCCTTACAACTGTTTCTATGTTTGAGCACATTTTTGCACCCACTGTGTTAATACATCCCATTGATGGTCTTCTCAGGTAGCATAGTGCCTAAGGCACTTGACTGCTAACCAGCAGGCTGGCGGTTCAAACCCACCAGCCACTCCTCGGAAGGATGGTTGGGCAATCTACTTCCATAGTGATACTGCCTTGGAAACCCAAGGAGGGGTCACTATGAGTCGGGTCCAACTTGACAGCACATAACAACAAGTACTTTACCAAGCATGATGTCCTTCTCCAGGGACTGGTCCCTCCTGATAACATGTCCAAAATAGGTGAGATGAAGTCTTACCATTCTCACTTCTAAGGAACATTCTGGCTGTACTTCTTCCAAGACAGATTTGTTCATTTTTCTGGGAGTCTATGGTATATTTAATATTCTTCACTAATACCATCATTTAAAGGCATCACGATTATGGAGCAGTTCTCTGTCATATAGGGTCTCTATGAGCTGTAATTGATACAATGACACACAACAACTATGAAACAAAGGAGCCCTAGTGGCTCAAAGTTTAAGCACTTGCAGCTAACCAAAAGGGTGGCAGTTTGGACTGGCCCAGCAGCTCTGAGGGAGAAAGACCTGGTTACCTGTTTCCCTAAAGATTATAGCCAAGGAACCCCTATGGGTATTTCTGCTCTGTCACATGAGATCCCTAGCAGTCTAAATCAAGTAGACAGCACCTACCATACCTGGGAAGCAGGGAGGAGCTAGGTACCAGGAGTCCAATAAAACCAAACCCAGTTGCCATCAAATCAATTCTGACTCATAGTGACTTTATAGGACAGAGCTGTTGTTGTTGTTATATGCCGTTGAGTCGGACCCGGCTCATAACAATCCCTCCTTGGGTTTCCGAGGCAGTATCACTACAGAATACGGAGTAGAACTGCCCTTTAGGGCTTCCAAAGCTGTAAATCTTTATGGAAGTACACTGCCACATCTTTCACCTGCGATACAGCTGGTTGGGTTTAAACTTCCCAGTTTTTAAAGTTAGCAGCCAAGCTCTTGACCATTGCACCACCAACACTCCTTTAAAGTACCAGGCATACGATCGTTAATAGACAGATGTGGCCCTGCCCTCACAGTCATTATTGTCAAGTGCAGGAACCCACGACCAGTCCCCTAACAAATGGTTCAAGTCACACAGCTGCAGGAGAACTGAAACTGAAAAGGTCTCTATTTATGCTCTGGCCCATCAGACCACATTTTTTCTTAAGATGACAGATCAAAGATACCACTTGAAGCAATCATAAGTTTCTAGGATCTTGATTTATTTCTCAAATCCATTTTGAAGGAGGAAAAGAAATCACCATGAGCTAAAATATCAACATTATGCCTGAGAGACAAAATTTACAATTTTCTTTTTCAATCAGCTGATATTGGAGAGGATAACAAGTCTTCAGAAGAGTGGGTGAAAAGAGACCATATTGCAATTTAATTCTAGGAATGAAACTTCTATTAAAAAAAATCAGAATAAGGAAATTATGCAATGCTAGAATGTCATTTATGTTCATCTATTCAACATACATTTATTGGGTACCCAGGTAGACACAACACCTACAAAAAAGAATAAAACAAAGTCCTTACCTAGGGAAATTCACAGTCCGGCAGGGAAAGTAGACACACAAATAAGAAACTATAATATCTGCTAACAGGGCTCTTACTCATCCGCCACACTTCAATTTGATCATATTGATTGGTAGAATATTGAAATTCTTCTGTACTGATTGGAAGAAAGCCACTGCCATAAATATTTCCTAAATGTCTTTTCACCCCTAGCTCTCCCTTGAGATGTTCCAAATCTCCTTAGATCTAGCAATCAAAGGCTTAATGGTGGTTCAACTGTAGATACACAGACAAGTGGAATAGAACTGAAAACTCAGGATTAAACTCAGCCAGCTATAGACAACTGATTCTCAACAAGGCGTCAAACACCATTAAGTGGGGCAAAATCTGTCTCTTTACGAAATTGTGCTGGTTAAACTGGGTATCCATTTACAAAAAAATGAAACAGCACTCATACTTCTCACCATACACAAAAACTAAGTCAAAATGGATCAAAGACTTAAAGCTAAAACCATAAAATTCCTGAGAGAAAACTATGGAACCTAATCTTTTGTAAACATAGGATAAAAAATGTTACAACAAATGCACAAATGAAAGAAGACCAGTAAATAAATGAGACCTCCTAAAAATTAAAAACATATATACAGCAGAAGACTTTATTAAAGCAGTAAATAGACAACAACTGGGAAAAAGTCTGCAAAAGTGATTTATCCAATAAGGTTCTAATCTCTAAATTCTATAG